AGCATGTGATTGGTTGATTAGATAATTGCATTAATGAGAAATTGAACAGGTGTTCCTAATAATCCTTTAGGTGAGTGTATATATATTTACACACACACAAATTCGTAGCGTTCTGCTTAATGGAAGGCAACCACAATTTCAACGAACCTTTTCGTCCAGTAAAACAGATTAAAACTCCAGATTATCTTCGAGTTCAATATGGAAGCACATAATATGCCCAGCTGGCATGGATGTCAGGTAAGTGGCTGTGTGACAGGTGTGCGGCAGGAGCGCGCCTTCTCGCCAGCTGGGAATATCGTTAACAACGATAACAACGGCACTGTATGCTGGTTATTTCCAGGCCAGACACGCTGTGACAAAACGTCTTGGCTCGGATAATTTACAATGGAAAACCGTCGCTTCCCAGTTCCGTTCGGTTCTTGTGACAGTGGAAAAGCACGAATAGGAACAGCATACCACACTAAGCATTAAAAACACTAACAGTAATAGTATCCATGCTTGTTTTTATTGTACTTCTTCCATCAAACACACAGAGCTACTTGGGAGCAAAGCCCCCAGGGTCAGTAACAGCTCATCTGGCAAATTGAGGCGCTCGCTGGCTCGAGACGCACAACCCACAGTTAAACCCCATACCCTCCAAGATCCACTGTGGTCCGCTTGCACCCAGAATGAATTCATCCAAGTGCTATAGCTCCAGTTCAATTTTGACATTCATCTTCTCCTTGAAAGGCTCCAGCAGGGGATATACCTCCTCAGACAGGAACCTCGACACCTGGCAGAGTGTGGAAATAAACATCAAGCCACATCTGGGCTAATAAAACAGCTGTTTGCTAACAGTTAAGTCGCTGAGGTTACTGCACTGCTGCACATCATTACCTGCTGTGGGGCTCTCCCAATGAACGTTTTGGGGTCCAGTAAGGTGTCAAGCTCACCAAGAATTGGGGCAAAATAGGGGTCTGCCTTCACACGGGCCAGAAGGTCATTGTCACCACCTTCCTGTTTGACCACAGCAGCTGCTTGCTGGGAAAGTACTCTGATTTTTTCATGACAGTCCTGAAAGTGAAAAGTGGTGTTCAGAAATGCTTCTGGGAAACAGCCCTGCTGAGGAGAACTATGCAGAAAATTATGACATGACAAAAAAGACGACTTGATGTGAATCTATACTGGTTAGTCTGAACCCGTGGGTCGTCTGTTTCTAGTGGTCTATGTATACTGGTCTGTCTGTACAAATCACAAGGACAGCATCTCTCACATAAGGGGTAAGATAATCACGTTAGACCCACATGAGGGCCTTAAGGCGAGGCTGATACCTGTCTGTTACCTCCAGCTTTCACCATGGCCATGATGAGGTTCTCAGTGGCCATGAAGGGCAGCTCATGACGGATGTGCCGCTCAATCACCTACGAAGGAAGGAGAAGCTGTTCACCATGTCATCTCCCACTTACAACCTTAGTTTAAATGTCCAAATGCACGTTTGTTCAATTCTACGCGTCTCAGGAAGTCGACGTGCCTTGGGATAGACAACGAGGCCTTCGGTGATGTTCTGCAGGGTGCTGAGGATGATGTCCGCAGTCAGGAAGGACTCGGCCAGAGAGATGCGGCTATGAGATGGAGAGCAGGTAGGTCAGCAGACTGGGTCGCCCGCTCCGGGTAGAGCAATGCGGTGCCACATACCGGTTGGCGCTGTCGTCCAGCGTTCGCTCAAGCCACTGCACTGAGGCCGTCTGCAGTGGGTCAGAGAGCAGCGCCACCAAGTGGCGGGACAGGCTACAGCACCGCTCTGCCCGCATGGGGTTCCGTTTGTAGGGCATGGCGCTGGACCCTGGGGGGTGGGGCATATACTGGATGTAAGGTTTAGGTACAGCAACCTAGGGCATCTTTGGCTGCCCGCCAGATTAAAGGTGGATGGATGGATGGATGAACTAATTATTATATCAACTGAGCAAACTGTACTTTCTTTTTCAGTCCTGTCAGCATGGATATGAAAGTATCCAAAGGTTTTCAATGATCAGATGTGTGTGTTAAAATGAACATAATACGGTACAACAAAAACAGCAGTGATGCAGGTTTGGGTCTACATCCAATCTGAATTGTGCAGGAATGTATCACAACACACACATGGAAAGTGCCTTGGGGAAAGGTGCTTTATAAAAATCAA